AGGCGCAGGGCGTGCCCATCCCCGCCTCAGGCTTCTGAAGGATCACCTTGGCCCGCCGCCTGGAAACGCCATCCCGGGCCGCGCAGCCCCCGGGCCCCACCCGCGCCCTTTGGCCTGACCGCCCCCACCCACCGAGTGGGCCCCGCCTCCTGGACTAACCCTCCGGGCCCGGCTGGGCTGCCCTCTCCCACCTGCCTGTCCACCCGCGCCTGGGGCTGTCCGCGTCCACCCTCAGACCCCGGGCCCAGGGGGCACAGGCCTCCCCTCCCCCAAGGGAGCTCTTTCGGGTCCCCTCCTGCCGCCTCACCGTCTCTCCAAGCTCAGGAGGCTCCAGGAGCAGCTGCGGCTCTCAACTGGGCCCTCCATGGCCACCCACAGAGAAGGGATTTGTGGACAATACTGGGCAGCTCCCGCAACAGCAGAACTGGAGAAGCGTCCAGAGAGTGGTCACACTGGCCTCCTGCTGCCCTTCCCTCCACGAAGGGCCAGCCTGCGAGGACTTCCAGAGCCCGTGCCCAGGCAGCGGGAGGCTGGGGACGCAGAGGGCTGCCAGGTGGACGCGGCCGGCGGAGGCTTCCCCCACAGTGAGCGGCCTCAGGAAGGGGCCCTGTGCAGTGGCTGCTTCGCGGGGGCCGTGATGAAAGCGGGGAGCTGCGGCAGAGCTGGGGTGCGACACCCACAGAGCTGCCTGCCTCCGGTGTCCTGGCCAGCAAAGACGTGGCCCCTTTGGAAATTCTGGCCCTCACGGCTGAGGCCCTGACCCGGCCGAGAGCACAGGACTCAGGCAGTGGGGACGGGGCGGGAACAGGGCCGCGCCGCTGGACAGGTGGTGCCCGCGTGTGCGTCCAGGGGTAGCGGTGGGGCCTGGGCAGCGCTGGCTGCCCCCTAGGGCGCCTGCCGGGGGAGGAGGGGTCGTCTGGAAAGAAGCTGAGACCCCGGAAGACGGGGAAGAATAAAGTCGTGTGCACCATCCACCGCATTTTGCTGCTTTGCACTAAGAAACGCTGATACCCCTCAACCTTCACCTCCGAAAGGGAGAACGGGGTGCTCGGCTTCACGCCGTGGCCCTCGCGCAGGGAGCTGTGCTCAGCCCCACTTTAGTGTCCCCGGCTCACCTGCCTGGGGCCTCACTCGGAGGAGTGTGGGAGGGCCCCCCACCGGTGGGGGGCGGTGAGCGAGAGGGCGCCCCCTCCCGAGCGGGGTCCGCACAGGGCCAGCGGCATACTCACGGCCCTCTCCTCACCATGCTGGACACGGCGGTGGCGGCTGTTTCCTGGGCGCGCTCCTCGCTGGCAGGGGCTGGCGCTCCCCGAAGGGTGGCGCCGAGGGGCCTGCCTGCCTTTGGCTGCCGTCATCGTGGGCCATCTTCTTCCTGCCCCATGGCCCTGCCCCCCGGGGCCCCCCCGTGTGGCGCTCAGACCCTCCCTCTGCTCTGGCAGTGGAGTCCTCTAGTGTGATGAGCACGTGGGCAACCTCGTGAGAGCCCTGTGGGCTGCTGTGGGTGCAGGCACGGGGCAGGGCGACTGGCCGGCCTGCGGGAGCAGCCAGCTGCCCTGCAAATTCCCGGTGCCAGCAGTTACCCCTGTCCCTTGGGAGGCCAGCCCCCACTTCCCTGGGCAGTGCAGCCGGCCACTGGGGTGCAGCCCATGGGTGCGTGTGTCCCAGGCGCCATCCCAGAGCCAGGGCCCATCTAGAGGACAGTGGGAACAGGTTCCAGGGATGTGGCTGTGCCCCAAGCCAGGCCCAGTCTCCCCCACTAGGGCAATGCAGGCGCTCACAGCCCACCGGCCGGGTCACACCAGCCCAGGGGAGACGGCTGCGTGGCCAGGGGCTCCACCTGCACCCCGCCTGGCCACGCAGGGCTGGCCCCTCCTTGGACAGGGGCAGAGCATGGACGGGCTCTGCGGGGAGTGGGGCCACCTACCTGGTGCCCATCAGCTCCTCCTGCTCCCCGTCCTCCTCCCCAACTTTCCATGTAGCAAGAATGGCCAGTGAGACAGGAGTGCAGGCCAGCGGGGAATGGCCAGGAAGGCCTCTTGGTCCTTCCTCATCCCCACCCTGGCCTAATCTCCTGGGTCCTGCCAAGAACAGGGAAATGCCGGGGACCCCAGGGTCGCTGGGGTCAGTCTCAGCTGTGGAGCCACAGTGCCACTGCGGCCAGAGCCCCCCGGGCAGGACTCGCTGCCCCAGCAGTGTGTCTCGGTGGACCACCCGCTCTGCTCCCACTCTGTCTCTGGGGACCCCCTCACCCCCACATCTCTGGCCCGCACCCAGGCTCTTGCGTGAATAAATAAATCTCAAAAGAAAAAGAACAGGCCGAGAGGCGGGGCGCCGGCGGGCGGGGCCTCTGACGACGCCATGTTGCGTGTCCAAGGTTTCGCCACTCGAAGCAAAAGTGGGGGGCTGGTCGGGACGCCCGCCAGTGCCTGCCCCCCAATGCGTGCAGCTGTCCTTCAGCGTGGGAGCGGGGTCTGGCCTCCCGAGCCCCCTACCCGAGCCTCTCGCCGCGCGGCGGGCACCCTGGGCGTGTGTGGGCCCCTGGTGAGCACGTCTCACTTTAGGGTCACCGAGGCCGGGGTCCGTGCCACAGGCGGGGTGCTGCTGGCACAGCGGGGGCCTCTGGGGGGCGAACGCCGCGGCCTGGCACTGAGCCGCTGGGGGAGCGGCAGGCGGGCGGCACCCGCTGCGGGACCCGCTGCCCATCCTCTCGGCGGAGGGGGTGCGTGTGCAGGGCAGTGACCGGGGGCCGGGTCCAGGCAGGACGCCACCCTCAGCGGAAGAGCTGCAGCTGGACTCGGCTCTCCTGCAGCCTGCCGCGACCACGCACACCCCGCCCTCCCCGCAGACGAGACGGACGCTGAGAGCGGGGAGCGGGGCCCCTCGCTTCCGGTGTCGGCTGGCGGTGCTGACCTGCGACCCCTGCAGCAAGGAGGCCTGCTTCAGGTGGACGGCCACGCCTCGCTCGGCTTCCGCTGTCCACCTGCCCGCCCGCTGTGGCCAGCAGGCAGGTGCTGACGGCTGCTGGGGGCCCGGAGACAGCAGGGACCCCGTCGCACCGCACAGCGCTCGGGCTGGCAGGAGCCGTCAACAGGAAAGCGGGGCCCGCCCGCAGGCCGCACGGCGCTGGCCATGCCCTGGGGAGCCGCAGCCGAGACGGGCAGCGGGGTGTTGGGTAAAGGTGTGCCCTGGTCCCCTGGGACCGTATGTGGAAGCCACCAGCCCTGGCGCCCCACTGGCGGGTCACATCAGGGGCCCAGCCTCTGCTCCGGGTTCCTCACCCCCCGGGCCGCGGGCAGCAGGCCCGCCGGGCGCTGTCCCCTGGCCCAGCTCCACCTGGCCCTCCCAGGGACGGCGGCCCCCTCCTGGAGGAGGGCCCAGCCAGAGCCTGGCCGCCGAGCCCGGAGGAGCGTGGCCCCCCGGAGGGCCTGGCGGCGTCCTCTGGAGACACGGCGGCCGGCACTCGGGCCTCCCCCTCAGCTGGTGCCTCTGCCCGGCCCACGTCTCAGGTGCCCGGGGGGGGGGGCTGGACGCCCCAGGGTAGACGATGGGCTGCTCGTGCAGGGCTGCTCACCAGGGCCATTTTGCCCAGCCCTCTGGTCAGAGGGGCCGCCCGCAGGAGTGGGCCAGCCTGGCCGGCCTCCGCAGCCAAGTAGCCACAGGCGGTACTCTGCTTCCCAGCCCCTCCCCCACGGCCGTGGCTGCGGCAGGTCAGCCGCTGGAGGGTCAGCCGCTGGAGGACACTGGGGCCTGCGCGCAGGGACAGCTCGCCGCCGCCGGCCCAGGACTGCCCGCCGGGCCCCCATCAGTAGGCGCTGAGAGCACAGCTTCCTGGGCTGGGGCCCTAAGGACGGCTGGGCCTCGTCTGAAGACGCTTCCAGGGCCCTGGAGGCGCCTGAGAAGCCCCCCGGCCCTCCTGCTGTCCAGGGCCGGCCAGGGCCGCTGCGGGGGAGGGCGGTGGGGGCCGCGGGGGCTGGCACTTGCCGGTCTGAAGGTCAAGGATGAAGCCTGGCGGCTGATGCCACCCGACCCGCAACCTGTAGCGGGAGCGCGGCCCGCGGGGCCCAGGCCCGAGCCCCTGGGCGGTCGGCTGCGGGC